TGTAGGAAAGGTCCCGTGGGAAGTAAGACTGGCCAAATTTGGCTGGGGGGCTGGCACCAGGCCACATCCCATAGCTGTGCTGTACTGTTCTCCCGCCAACCTGCCTCCCTGCCGGGAAGGTGTACATGGTGCATGGTGCCGTGTGGGACTGGGGAGGGAATGTTCTGTCCCGCAGAGGCTGAGATGAGACCCGGGAGATGTGTGGTGTATGCAGCCCCGGGGTGTAATGCTGAGCTCTACCCAAGAGTCTGTGGCCTTCTGGGGGGTGGCGGGAAGGAGCACAAAAGTGAACGATTTTCCAGGGATCCAACGAAGAATGGTCATGTGACCTGCTGAGTTGATTTAGTCGGCTTCCCTCACATTGTAAGTCCTATCACCTGCCCTCCCTCCTCTTCCTTTCTTCCACTCTGGCATCAATGGGCTAGTGAGATACCCCATTGATGATCAAGTGACCAGATTCTGTGCAGTGGTTAACTGGGCGTTGATTGTTATCATTTGTTATTAACGTGTCCCCGTTGTATTGATTAACTCCTCTCATGGCTCCTCCACTTTGTTTGAACTGACTATATGGATATTACCACCCCTCGCTCTCGCTCCCCTCCCCCCCAAAGTAAAAAGTATGTTAAATGAGGGAGCTCCAGATGGAAAGCAGCCTGGTTCCGTTGCAGTTCCCTGGAGAAGTGCTGTTTTCCAGCGGCTGAATAGCTGGCTCCCGGCCCGAACTGTCCCCCAAAGGCTGTAACTTTTGTTGTGTTGAGACCCCCTTGCTACCTTCATGTGGCTTTCTTTGAAAAGAGACGCTGTGGGCGTGAGCTATAAATGTAGACCAGGAGGGTGAGAGTTTCAGAGCCGGCTAGGGGATGTGGGCACCAGATCCATATTCATTTCTAATGGGAATGAGGAAGTTTAGGCCAGCCCCCACATCCCTGCAGAGGTCAATGTGCTTTCCCTGGATGTCCATGGGGGTGCAACATCCCCTGTTTTTTAAATCAGATTGAGTTTATTCACGTGATTTTATGTAAAAGCGACGAGGAGTCCTGTGGCACCTTATAGACTAACTGAAGTGTAGGAGCATAAGCTTTCGTGGGCAAAGACCCACTTCGTCAGATGCATATCACAGGAGGTGCCACAGGACTCCTCGTCGCTTTTGCAGATTCAGACTAACACGGCTACCCCTCTGATACGTGATTTTATGTGTGTACCCCTTTCCACCCAGACAGAGTAAATCTTATCTCCCCCTGCTGCGAAGGACTAGGATCGCTAGGAACGTCTGAAAAGTCTCTGCTTGCTTTCCTACCGTTAACACTGGCATGGCATGCAGTATGTCTCGCTGTCATTGCTTTTAAACAGCACGGCTCAGCTGCAGCCCTTTGTGTTGGCTGGCTCCAGCTTAGAAACATTTCATTGCTCTGTGTGGACATGTCATCGTTGCGATTGGCCGCAATACACTGAGCGGTTCCGTCAAAGTCCACGTCTCTGTCCCTGTGCTATTTTCCACCATTTCCACTCTCGGGGGAGGAGAGGGGGCTCATTGGCATTTCCTTTCCCCGTCTCCGTTGTCTTTTACCTGGAACAGCTGGGATGGACGGCACAGCTAGCCAGAGCACTAGCCTTTGTCTCCATGTTTAACCCTTTGTTCATCTGCCTTCCGAATCACTGCCGCAAAACGTATGGCGCGCTATACATGGTTTCTGTGTGACTCCAAACAGTGTAACACGGGAATGCCAAAGGGCTGATGTCTGGACCAAAACGGCATCAACCCACACAAATAATACACAGGGCAACAGCAAATTGGGCACGTGTGTTTGGGGGAATTGCTAGGTGCTGGGAGCGTCATGGGGCCAGAAGACCCCATGACCCCAGGACCTAAGGGCCGGGAGGAAACCTGCCATGTGAGAAAGAGTTCAGTAATTCACAAAGGGGCTTGGCTTATCTGCATGCCATCCAGGTGAAATACTGAACCCCCCTGCCAGCTTGTGTGTCAGCTCTTTGACAGGAAACGGAGGCATGTGCTCTAAGGTGCTAACACGTTACGACACAAGGGCCAACCCTGCCATCCTGAAATAGTCAAAACCCCCCTTGAAGGGCCGGGGATTTTTGCTTGAGCAAGAACTGCAGGATTTGGCCCTAAAATATCACTTCCGGGATCTGAGTAACTGAACCCCCCTGCCAGCTTGTGTGTCAGCTCTTTGACAGGAAACGGAGGCATGTGCTCTAAGGTGCTAACACGTTACGACACAAGGGCCAACCCTGCCATCCTGAAATAGTCAAAACCCCCCTTGAAGGGCCGGGGATTTTTGCTTGAGCAAGAACTGCAGGATTTGGCCCTAAAATATCACTTCCGGGATCTGAGTAACTACTCTAGTCTTCACGGCAGGGAGTGTTTTAAAAAATGTACTTTAGCCCCAGACGCCACGCCAAGGCAACTAGGCATTTGAAAACACACTTCAGAGCTCGATACGCTCTAGAACCCAAGGCTGCTCCAGGTAAAATCCATCGCAGACGTCCCGCTCCAAGACCAAAATTTCTTCGGATTGTTTTTTTTTCATGAAACCCCAGCAAACAATTTGACGTAGGCTGGGAAAAGTCATACACTCAGGGGTGGCCCGTGTGTATAGGCGGACTCGGCCGTCACCTAGGTCGCCATGTTAAATGGGGCGCCCAATGATGACGTCACACCATTGAGGGCTGTGGAGGTGGGGGCGCCAATCGCGCATTCCACCTGGGGCACCAGATGCCGGCAGCCTACCTCGAGCCGCCCCTGCATACACTGTTCTGGCACGTTTGCCATGCTCTGTTTGGCCTCTGCCTCTCCAGTGCATTGATTTAGCCCTTACGTCTGAGACGCGGTAGAGGCCAGTACAAGCACAGCCCATTCCCTGCAAACCTGTTGGCAAAACATCTAAGGCGCATGGACCAGCTGCTTAGCATGTTTGCTCCGGGACAGGGTGGGGGTTAGTGACTAGAGACCTGGCCCACGCCACGGTCAGGCCAGGGTACTTTTTTAAATGCTTAATTTTTTTCCCCTTTTGCTCTCTTTGCCTTTTCAGCTTTTAACCCTTTCAGAGTCATTTAACATTTGCGCATTTTGCAATGCAGATTTGACAGACCCTTGCTTGCTGGATTTTGACATGGGCACCCAGTGCAAGGAGTATCAGGTTATGTGGTTCTTTGACTACAAAAACAAGATCTGCACCCAGATTTGGTATGGTGGGTGTGGCGGTAACGCCAATAGATTTGAGACAGAAGCTGAGTGCATAAGCAGATGCGGGAAGCCAGGTAAGTACTGCGCGGGGTTAACCATTTTGCACTTTTATAATATTGTCAAATGCATTTTGAGATTGGCAAGGCATTTTGGTTTAAAAACAACCTCTTGCCCACACTTTTTCCCCCTACAGCAGCTGAGAGAGTCATGCAGCAAATGACCCTTGAGAAAAGAGTATTGGCAGGTAAAAGGACAAATGCAGCGGATCATGCATTTAATCTCACTGTTCGGTCACTGCTCTGGGCACTTGTGTGGCAGACTTTGCCATGGTTGGACTAAGGCAAATGCAACCAGAAAGCGTTTTGTTTTTCACTCATGCATGTGAGCTGCTGAGAAAGTCCCGCCCTCGGCTTTGCATGGACGCACTCTCAGCATGCCTCACGTTGCATCCGGAATCACAGTGCTGGCCATGAGTTCACTGCAAGCTCTCGCTACAGCAAACCTGGGCAATTTGTTTCACGACAAGCGTCTGGGCACCACATCGGAGAGGATTGCAATCGCAAGGAAACTCCTGTTAACACTGTTGTGTTGCTCCCGGTAACTGTGTCCCTAACTAACCTCGTCATGCTGTTGTATGCGTTCGCGTCTATGCACCTTGCTTTCACGGATATCCTTAATTGAATAATATTCCCTGTTGTTCCCAAGCAAGTGCAGGGAGTAGGGAAGGGACGCATACTAGAAAACTGCAGTGTTTTCCTGAAGGCAGGAGTGGGCAATAATTTTTGATGATGGACCACTCCAAGATTTGGGTAAGTGGTCAAGGGCTGCGCTTTTCTATGTAGGAGGTACAGGGTCTGAGATGGAGATTGGGTGAAGGAAGGGTAGGGAATTGCGGTGCAGGGTCCAGGAGGGGGTAGGGGTGCAGGAGAGGATTCTGGCCTGGGGAGGGGTGTAGGAGTTTGGTGCAGGGTGACTCCCAGCCAGCAGCCCAGCAGAACCCTCAGGCAGGTGCCTGCCAGCCAGCAGCCCCAAGCCACTCCAAGTGGCTCTCTTGGCCCTGCCCCGGGGCGGGGGGGGGGGGGCTTTGCCCCCTGCCCCCCCCCCCCCCCAATGCAACCTCTCCCCTCTCATTGGCGCTAAATGGGGAGCAAAAAGTTGATAATGGCTCTTCAGATCATCAGACCAAGGTCTGACGATGCAAGGGCAGGAAGGTGGAGCTAGGCAAACTGAGATTGGAAATAAGGGGCACGTGTGTCAGAGTGAGAGTCATTAGCTGTTGGAATAACAAATAACAGGCTGCGGCGGATACTGCATCAGTCCCAATTTTAAAAGCAAGACTGGCTGTTTTTCTGAAAGATCTGCTCTAGCTCAAACTGGAGTTAATTCAGGCCACGCCAAACCTGATGATCACGCTGGCCCCTTCCAACCTTAGCATCAAAGGACGTTAATTCCTTGTGGGTTTCCCAGTGGAAATACACCAGAGGAACATGGCACAGAAACATTTAGGCTGTCTCTACACTGTCATGATTTTGCGCAAATACTTTAATGCAAGAGTTTTTGCGTTAAAGTATTTGCGCAAGAGAGCGTCTTCACTGGCATGTGCTTTTGCGCAAAAGCATCCATGCCAGTGTAGATGCTCTCTTGTGCAAGAAAGCTCCAATGGCCATTTTAGCCATCGGGCTTTCTTGCTCAAGAAATTAACGTTGCCTGTCTACACTGGCCTCTTGCGCAAGAACAGTTGCGCAAGAGGGCTTATCCCTGAGCGGGAGCGTCAGAGTACTTGCACAAGAAGCACTGATTTTATACATTAGAATGTCAGTGTTCTTGTGCAAGTACTTGCGGCCAGTGTAGACAGGTGGAAAGATTTTGTGGCAAAATCTTGCCAATGTAGACATAGCCTTAGAGCCACAGTTTGTTGTGCAGAATGAGAGTACAGAAAAATTAGTAACAGGAGGTGTCCCACCACCAGTAAACTCTGGAGAGCAATAATGAACACCATGGAAGCCATGGAACAGCCAAAGGAAGCCATATTACTAGCATGGAAACCTTTTCTAACTTGGATTCCGCTTGGCACATCGGCACATCCTCAAGTCCATTCCCGTTCAGCACAGCACTTAAACTCATTCTTAACTTTAATAAGGCCTGACATCCCATTGACTTAAAGTGAAGTATGTGCGTAAGAGCTCAGCTGAATAGAGGCCTTGCCGAATCATGGCCTAAGTGAACAGATTTGCCAAATGTGTGATCTATTTCTATGCTATATTGGTGATGCATTGATTGGGGATGTTTCCAGTGAATTTTGTTGCTTAGGCTAAAGTGGTATTTTAAGGACATAAAAGGTTGTTACAAGAAGGAGGGAGAAGAATTATTCTCCTTGACTTCTGAGGATTGCCCAGGGAGGTTGTAGAATCTCCATCACTTGAGAGATTTAAGAACAAGCTAGAAAAACACCTGTCAGAGATAGTCGAGATAGTATTTAGTACTGCCCTGAGTGCCGGGGACTGGACCTTTCAAAGTCCCTTCCAGTCCTACAAGTCTGAAACTTGGCACTGTTACGCTGCAGACAGTCTGAAGCAGATTAGCAAGAAAAGCATTGAAGAGGCCCTCTTTCTGGCTGGCAGACATTTAGATCCATGGCTTATGCAGAAGATTTCTTCTGTTTGCTAGTTTTAGTTGGACTTTCTTCTGCAAACGTCAGCCTGAGTCTTTGATTGAAAGAAAGCGAGGAGTCCACAAAATTCAGAAGCAGATTTTAGGCACGGATATTTCGTTGGTTTGGATCAGGGCGTTTAACGTGAAAAGAGGAAGAACAGCTGCAAAATTGGGGTAGATGTTGGGATTCCAAACCCAGCCCTACTTTAGGATTCTTGGGGCACAGAGTTCTGCTTCAAGATCATCTCAGTGTGTTTTCAGTGCGAGACAATCTTTAAGTTTACTGTGGAATAAACATAATTAACCAGGCAAGCCTAGCATTCCCGTCCTATATTTGTGTGGGGGAGGGATTGATCAAACTATGACTCAGTGTATGATACATGGGCACCGTGCAAAGCAGGGATTTCAATCTCTGGGTCGCAGCTTGTAAGGGCAAGCGGCTAGCTGGCTGCGAGAGGCTTTGTTTACCTGCACCTCCTTAGGTATGGCCAATCACAGTTCCTGTTCGCTGTGGATTGCCATTCCCAGCCAATGGGAGCTACGGGAAGCAGTGCAGATCAGAACGCTGCTCCCTGGCTTAAAGCACCTTTCCGGTACTTCGGAGTTCGGAACACCGTTTGGAACACAGCACCCTGATTAGACCCAGCTTGTCTGGGTTGGTTTTTGCCTCCTGCAAGATCTGGAATCAAATCTTCCTCTTAACATGTGTGCAACCTCCCTCAGCTGGCCCATCCCCTTCTACATGCCAGTTAGATCCGCTGAAACTTACGTGGGTCCTGATACCCAGGTCCTGATACTAAGGAATCCAGCACCGGTTTTGCACACTTGCAATTCTCACGGCGGCCACGTGAGATGTTACAGTGAGTGCAAAGATGTTATTCTTGTCCAAGCAGAACTCCAGCTGACCGCACCAGCATACCAAACAATGGAGCCCTTAGTCACACGGAAGTAAGCAAACTCACAGCCCAGCTAGAGAGCCAGAAGACCCTGAAGGCAGCCTGGTGTGTGACTGGTGGATGGAAACATGCGAAGAAGGTTCTGAATAGAGCTGTGTAATAGAACCCTTTTTAAACCAGGCATATCAATGCACTTTGCTAAAGTATTGGCCCTATTTTAGAAAGGGGATAAATTACTTGCCCCTAATTACATCAACTCAGGTTAAACTAAAGTCTCGGGGTTCTCAGTCCCCTAGACTAACAACTAGTTAGCACAGTCTCCTTGTAAAATAACTGATTTCAAAATACCCACAAATTACCAATTGGGTAGGAAAATTGGGAAGCAGTGCAGACTGAACATTGAAAGCAGCTAAGAAATGGACAAAAGGAAGCAAAGGTTAATATATCGTAGGAGGCACATGAAGACTGATGTAAATAAGAAGCTAATTAGCCACATAACTATTCCTCAATGGGCACAAGCTGAAATGGGGGAAGAAAATGAATTGTGCAAGCAAGATAGATGATGCCCGGAATAACAGCACAGAACCAAGTGCTCCACGCCCTCTGCTTAAGCACCAAGACTTTAACTTCAGTCATGGGCTTAAGTGCTTTCCTGAAGAGGGAAGCTTTACTGAATCAAGGCCCAAAGTAGTAGGGTTATCTCCAGTGTTTCCCTAAGACTCATGGAGTTTAGCCTGAGTTAGAGTCTCCCGAGATCCACAGACTGTAATCCATTGGCTGGAGGTGAGGCCATGACAACACATGACAGAAATTAAAAGATTTCGCTGATATTGAAAAACAGGAGCATACAGAAGACAGAGTCAACACCTCTGCAAATTACTGCCCAAGCCAGAACCTGAGACGTGCCCAGATGATAACACGTATTAGAAACAAAACTGCTGTGTATTATGGAAATTGGACCAGTCAAGGAGAACGAACTGAAGCTAACTGTCAAAGAAAATAAGAGGAAACATAGCTAAGCACTGGCATGATTAGTGCTGAAATTCATATGCTAAAACTAATCAGAGAAGGATGGTTAGAAACACTCCCAGAGGTATATGAAAAGGGCTGGACTGGTAAGAAACTATCACTCTAATCAGAGGTACCATTGTGTAACTGTGAAAGTCAATTTAGCCTAATAAGAAAACTGAAGAGATGCTGTTTTGCTTTCTGCTTAGAGCCAGATCTTCAAGAATATTATTCAGAGTCAGAATTAAAGCATAGAGTAACGTGAAGCATTCATGGTGAACAAGATTGACAATGATTTTGAACTTTTTATGCTCCTGGGATAGCTATGAGTAGGCTGCCCCTTCCACTCTCAGCCCCGCCCCTTCCAGCAGCCCAGAGCCAGCCCCCCCACTTTGCTCAGAGGCCCATGGAGGTTGTCAACTCTGTTGTGAAGAATCATCAGCTACCCAAGATGCAAAGAAAGAGGTTAGGCTAAGAAGACTAACCCACAGTCTAGCCCTCCTACTGAAACGGAAATGAAAACTCACTCACTATAAAGGCAGAAACAAAGGAGAGAGTCAGACTGGTGAAGAACTAATGTAATGAGCAGAGATTAACGTTAGAAGCACAAGGGATGGTTGCTTTGCGTCTGTGCTCGTGAATAAGGCTCTGCAGCACGTAATCAGAGGTGAGGCAAGCAGGTGACCAC